CTATATTCTTTTGTTAATTCCAGTTCTCTGTTTGTTTGATCTTTAACATGTCTTTTTAAATCTCTTTGTGTCATACTTTGAAAGTTCAACTTAAATAGGTTGAGAATGCTATATTCAGTTACAATGCTTTTTCTATGGTTTAAATGTATCCTCTTACTTAAACCATTTTTTGGTTTGTTTTACTTGACACTTGGGAAATATTGGTGTATCTGTGGTTAACACATCACATTGAGAGCAGTTTTCTTCTTCTTTTGCTTCCTCTCCATCCCCCCCTGCCCAAAATCTCTCTTTTGATTAAATACTTTGGAGTTCATATTTGGTTCTAGAAGTAGAATTTCTCTAGCAATAATTTTAAATATTAACCATTAACCAATACGATATACTGGGGTCTTGGCCAGGTGGATGCCAACTGTAACATTTTGCATGCTAAGGCAGCTGTTCCTCATGTTGTTAGTGCACATCAAGCAGCCTATGGTCAACCACTTACCATGGCACATATCCAAGGGAGGGAAACTGCTATACGAGCTATGTCTGAATTGAACGGTGCTCTTGACAAAAAGGTTATTACACTATTTGGTAAACTTAAGTGTTTATATCCTTTTGAGTTCGTCTTAATGTTATGGTTTCATTGAAACTACTCCTGGATACTTTTCATGCTAAATTGTATCATGCTTTTAGCTTGCTCATAAAGATAGCTGCTCTGCATTTGGTGGATAATTTCATCTCCAAGAAATGATCTGTTTCATATTATTGCGTCACAAATTTTCATTTTTACCTTTTTAGTCTAATTGGTGATTTGACATAAAATATTCAATGAAAATTGCCGAAAACCCTTCATTATATTCTTATATTTTTAGATTTGGCTTTTTGCTTTATGTCTGTTAATTGGTTTGTAAGATGTTAGCAGAATTACATTAGTTGGAGCTGATCTTTTTCATATATATAATATTGCAGGAAGCTTTATTGATGGAGCTCAGAAATATGAACAATGACATATCAGAAAATCGAAATGGAGAAAGTTGTTTAAAAGATTCTGAACCTTTCAAGAAGCATATTGCCACGGTACTTGTCGAGCTAAAGGAAGCCAGTGGCCAGGCATGTGGCTTCCTTGAATTATAGAAGTGTTTTGCTCTTTAATTTGATTTCAATTCTGTTCTTTGACAACTTCCTATTGATCATTTTCTGTGCAGGCTTCTTCTGCTTTGCTTAACTTGAGACAACGGAATGCTTACCCAACAAACCTCCTGTCATCTTGGCAGAAACCCCCAACCAATTCCAACTTCTTTGGTGGCTTGACTAGTTCTGTAGACAGTTCTCATGTCTCACCAGAATCAGGATCTGGTGTGGGTGATATTGTTCAAGGCTCAAGACTAAAAGCGCATGCTATGGTGGATGCTGCTATTAAGGTAAAAGTATCTTTTCTATGCCCTTCTGTTTGTTTACCTAAACGTCCAAGCTTAGGGTTTAATTACATATGTTATGCACTATGCATTCAGGCCATGTCATCAATGAAGGAAGGCGAAGATGCATTTATGAGGATTGGAGAAGCTTTGGACTCTTTAGATAAACGGCAATTCACATCTGACATTAGGATGCCGTTGATGAAGTCACGAGAGCAGGAGAATGGCAGTATGGGTTATCGCAGTCACTTGGTTTCCAGTACATCAAAACCAGTGGCTGCCGTTTGGGCCACAAATCCCAAGTCGCAGGAGGCTTGCGACAAAAACGAGGAACAAGTTCCTTCAGAGCTGATCGCATCATGTGTTGCTACTTTGCTCATGATAGAGGTAATTTGCAAATTCTTTTCTGATCTGATTGCTGCGTTTTGAACAGCAACTCTCCTCACCATGAGGACCAGACAACTGGCTTCATCCCTGTTTCTGCATTGCTATGTCTTGTGCTGATTACTGTTTTCTTCTAAACATTTGCAGACATGTACAGAGCGACAATATCCACCAGCCGACGTGGCTCAAATAATCGATTCAGCTGTTACAAGCTTGCATCCATGTTTTCCCCAGAACCTGCCGATTTACCGAGAAATACAAATGTGCATGGGGAGGATTAAGACTCAAATATTAGCTTTGATACCCACTTGAATCTGATTGCTTTATTTTCTCTATCTCCTTTCTTACCAAACCATGTACATATGATGTTGGAATCCAGGTTCCTGGTATAATTCTTTCAAGTTCTTTCTACCATCCCCACCTAGCTGTTTTTGTTTTAACATGGATCAACAATTACACAAAATCTCAATGATCCTAATTGGACCATGATTCAATGATTTTGGGCTTGTTCAAAACCAATCTGAAACAGGGTCCTTTCCTTAACATGAACTGAACCTCCAGAAAATCCATAAATTGAAAATTTTAATAATAAACATATTGTGTTTTCATGAGCTCCTTCATCCATTGATATGCCAAAATATTGAATGAGGCTAACCAGTTCACATGTTATGCAACATACAAGCCTCTGGTATTTATTTTCCATTAAATCCTATAGGTGTTTCACATATAGAGAGTATCAAGTTAAAGAATACCTTTCGAAAAAATGTACTATGAATTAGATTTTAAAATTTTAAATATTTAATTAATTGAATTTTCAAAGATATAATTAAATCGGTCAAATAATATCTTCAAATTAAAATAATTAAAACTCACCAATTTTATCATTTTGTTAATAAGATTAATATTTATATATTAATAAATAAATTATTAATATTAAATCCTTTGATAGAAAAAACCTGATTAAAATAACTGAATTAAAACGAGCTATTAACTAATTAAAACTAAACCAAACAAACAAAACCGAATTGCTCAAATTCAATCTTCAATTAAAAGGAAACTAAATTAACCAAATTCAATTGATTTTAAGAAACCAAATTAACCCAACTCAACCAATTTTAGGCGAAATTAACCGAGTTCAATCGATTTCGATTAATTATTAGGTTAAAACCTATTAATGGACCGTCCTATATCAAATTATTCCCAAAAGGAAACTTGTAGGACATGTTATGGCATAAAACATGCCTTGATAACATGAATTGCCCTTACAAGACATGTGAAAATTACCAGCAACTCAAGGAAAAAGGCCAAATGCTCCAGCATCAAACCATATGGAAGGATCATAATGGTTACACCAAGAACAGAGATATCTCTACTAATATGTATTCGAAAACCAATCAAATGCAACTCAAAAATCCATTCATTGAAGCAAGAAACCATCCACTACATGGAAAAACTCATACTTGATCAACATCATAAAGAGGAACAAGCTTGTAATCAAACCCTTGAGCGTACTACAAAAATTTTAACTTATAAAGATGAACATTTTGAAACATATAGGGGTCAAACTCTTGTCAAATCATGTAGAACAGATTAGTCACCCTTTTTCCTGAAAGAGCATCCCTCGGTGAGTCTGGCTCTACCTCCTGTCGGCTGGCAAAGAACAGTCTGGCAGTTACCACACACCACCACGGTTTGAGAGTGGCTAAACACAGTTGTTCTGCGAAAAAGAACAACAAAAGACAAGATTTAAGAATGAGATGAATGCCGAATATGCTTCAAAACACATAAATTTAAAGACCCAAAGACGATTTTCCGGACAATTGAAGGACTTACATGTTGAAGCAGCCTTGACATTTCACATCCTTTGCAAAGGGTAAAAAGAACAAGGTTAACATATGGATCAAAGGGAGAAAAGATAAGGAAACAAAGAAGTCGCAAAAACAAATTACCATGAAGAAAGAATTGGGAGACTGAACCAGACGCTTGAGTTTGTGCTTCTTCTTCTCAAGCTCTACTGGAGGATTCAGCAAATCGATATCGTTTTGAAGAACCTGATAATTCCATAATTTAAACAACCTCAAACCAGGTTCAATTATACAAAAAAAAAAACATAAAAAAAAACAAGCAGAAACCAAAGGGGAGATTGAAACATACCATTTTCGGTTGGCTGCTAGATGTCCGAGGAGCAACCTGGGGACCCTCGAAGCTTGGCAGGCGGCAGAGATGAAGAAGGAAGAAGATACTGCCAATGCGGTCCTTTTATATATGGCGAAGAAGACTGGTTGCCCTAGGTCGGTTTGAGACACAAAACCCCAACGGGGCCCAAGCTTGCAACTTGAATTCGGATTTCGTCTCCAGGCCTATGCCTGCAATCTGGGTTTGGGTAAGTCTGTGAGATAGATTGGATTTTAGCCCAAGCTAAAAGCCTTTAAATTATGATATTTTTTAAATTAAATTCTTAATTTTTTATGTATCAAAATAAGTCATTAATTTTCAATTTGTACAAAAAATAAATGCTTTAACTTTTAACAAAAAATTAATCACCATCAAATCTAAAATCAACTAATATTTTCTATTCATGTAACATATGATGTGAACAACTGACATAATAGTGATTGTAACCAATATATTTGACAATATTAATTATCATATAATAATGTCAACTATCACATGATCATGTCAATTTAACTACTAAAATTTAAACTTAAATAATAAAAAAACTTTTAGATTATAATATTTTTTAATTAAATTCTTAATTTTTTATCATGCCAAATCTAGTCATTAATATTCAATTTGCACAAAAATAAACCTTAAAATCTAACAAAAAATTTAAAATTTAAAATTTATTTTAAAATTTTTATAATACAAGAACCCTTTTTGACTATTTACGCAAAATATTTATAATAATTGGATAAAGGGCAGGAGTTCCAACAAAGAGCTGAGAGACCACAGCAAATAGAGAAACATAAATTTACTTGTTGTGACATTACAATAAGGAACAGAGCTATTCAGAAATGGCAGAGACAGACTAAGTATATTATATGGTAATGACAAATTGTTATTCACATAATTTGTACTTTTGTAGCACATAATTATACTGAAAAGGGAATTACTGCTTTGGCCTTAAAACAAACATTATCAAACATAAACAAGCAAGTACATGCACCACCATCAACTTTTTTCCAGGGAAAAAACTGTATATATGAACCAAAATCAGATAAGAAGCTGCTCCAGCATCACCTAAATCTTTACTTCTTTTTTTTTTTTTTGTTCTTTTTTCTGCCTCATTTTTCTGTTAGCATAGACACAGACATTGGGAGCTGCTGCAGCAGCATGGTTGAGTTGACAATAATTAGGTTATTGAAATGAAGGGGAAAAATTGAATTCTCACAATTTACAAATTCATTTTCTTGCTCTTTGAAATTTCTATCCTAAAAAAGGGGTGGGGGGGCTCAGAGTGATGAAGCCCTTCCAAATCAAAAGACTGAGAGAGTAACAAATAAAGACCATTCACCAGGTGAGGGGCAGATAAGAGCAGCAGAGAAAAACAGAACTCAAATGAAATTTAATGGATCTCTTCCTGAACGCCACCCACAGTAAAGCCCTCGTTTTGAAACGCGACTAGACCTTTTCTGAGCTAAACACCAAGCAAGAACTTAAACACATCACTCAGCGAAATAATTCCTTCTACTCGCTTGCTGCCAGCCTCCACAATCACAAGTCTCCTAGCCCCTGTGAGAATACAAGCAACAAAACAGTAGTGTGAATCACATAAGAGAACTAGCTGCATTATATGAAAAAATAAATGAGGATGGATGAAAAGGATACCAGGATTTGTCAACCGCTCCATCACTTTGTGCAAGGTATCTGATCGTAGACACATCTGACATCTTTGACCATTGAAAGAGTTTGCATCTTGACCCAGTTGCAAGGCCTACAAGAGGTGGGTATCACAAAGTTTCTTCAAGGACATCATGGCTAATAAGAAAAGCTCTTTCTCTACTTGCATTTAAACTATCAAGTGCTGCACAGCTTAATGACATTTCACAATTACCTGATGTATACTCATTTCATCAAGATGAATTTGTGCATAAGCTTTATTATTTGCCAAAGCGGTTATATCACTGTCAAGCAAACAAGCAGATGACAAATTTTGTTAAGGAACTAAATAACATTTGGTTCGGCATCCAACAGTCTCTTCTTTTTCAATTTTCCTTTCCCACTAGAAAGAGAAAGGCTTTACCTTCGCGAATATATATCAAGCAATGAGTCATTCTCATCCACTATTGGTATCGAACTAACCTCGGCTGCAAAACAAGGTGTCATATTGTAAGATGATTAACAACAAAAGTGGAAAAGACAGAGAGAAGGGAGAAAGACTGGAACAGAAGACACAAAGACCAAGAAGTACCAACGATAACTAACAACCCTAAAGGCATTAAAACATTCCCTCTCAAAAAGCTTAGAGGAAGGAAGAAAGGAATGCCTCTAAAAAAATAAATAGTAGCAAAGTGATAACTACACGATGATGTCCATCCGAAATATCTACAATCAACTTGCTTACATAGGTTGTCCAGTTAAACATTTGAACTTTCACCAAGAAGGTAAGGTAAAACATGCTCAAGATGAAATGAAAAGGCATAAATGCAAAATTAACATTCGTAATTCAACATTACAAGATAGCATGCTTAAAACAGTCTATTCTTTTCCATTCTGCTTGCTAAGTGATAATATGTATCTTATGGTAAAAACAGCAACAGCAGCAAAAAACCTTAAGCACAAAGGGCCACAGGTTACCTTGAACTAACAACGACAAGGCAGCACCAAGAGAGGCGTTTGGCCGCAGCATTGCCAATGGCCGACCATTTGATTCCCCAATTTTTGGTACCCAAGTACCCAAGGGGATTGAACAAATTGGTTGGTGAAGAATGGGCAAGGAGCTAGAAGAATGTTTAAAATGTCTGCATATACCTGAAAATTAGGTTGTGGCTAGTAAGAACTCATGCTCCCTCAAACGAGTAGGAAATCACGTACCCTCAGCCATAAACAAAAGAAAATCTTACATTTTAGTATTTCAGACAATGTGGCAAGATGTAGCAGCTGTGGAAATGAACCATCTTGTGCCGAAGAATGAGTGATGGGAACCGTAGCCACCTTACTCTTCAAAATCTTCAGAGCAACGTCCTTCAAAGAATCATAAGGCCCAGCCTGCATACAATGGTCATAAATGTTATGGTACTAATAAAACAGTAGCCAAACCTTATAGAAGGTAGCTCCAACTTCAGTTAAAACCAAGCCCCATCAAATATTAGCAATAGAAACATTCTACCCATAACAAAAATTGCATCAAACAAACAAGTTGGAGTCATAACATGATAAATAAAAGTACAATGCAGATTCTTTAGAAGTATGGGCTATGAAAGAAAGACTCCTAGAGCTTAAAAATAGGTTATATATTCCATTCTAAATTTTGGGAGAAACGTCCAGATTGCATAGAGTCCAATTAATCATCCTTCCAAAATCTGGAGTAGCCGTATTCCTAAGAAATCAGTATCTCTTTTTCATGAATAGATTCCAGAAGACTCTACTATCCAAAAGCAACAGTTCAAGATCACATGGTCCAAAACAGCTAATCCTAATAATTTCAACAGTTAACAACTCTTCTTCCTAGCCACAAGCAATAATTGAACTTAAAAGTTTCATTTAACATACCATCAGAGAATTAAGTCAATAATGAAGTAATTCACCACGTTCATAAATCATCCAAAAAAATGAAGCATGTACAAATAAATCAGAGGCAGACATGAATAATGGTTTAGAAATGCTAGAGAATCCTGGAAATGGAAGCATTTACATGAACAAGACATCTAGGATATGATCTTGCGTTGCCGTCAATCTGTCTGCTAAGCTGCACCTTTCCCTCTTTCCAAGCTGATATTGTGTGTGTCTCTAATTCTTCCTCTGTCAAATTTGAACCATGATTCCCCAGCTGTCCTTCAAAGGGTTTGAAATGTTAAACTTACTCAAGGAATATTGCCGCAAATAAGGGGAAAAAAAAAACACGCATTGCCACATTTCTACTTGTAGTATGTGTGAGAAAGATTAAAGAACGGCTCAAAAATACTCCAATAAAAATATGCTGCCTTGACAATTGCTTTACAGTGATTTAAACAAACAGTTAACGATGGTAAACAAAAATAAATCTTTACTCATAGAAATTTGTAATCAGGTTAAATATCTCTCAACATTGAAAATTTCATCAATATTTTTATAATGAAGAACAACATAAATTGTTTCTCAAACCCTTATCTCTCTACCAAATAGAGGTTTGTCAGAGGGCATACTAAGTTACAAGGGTCATATGGTGAGTCGTATGTTCAACCACTTCCTATTTCTCTCTCTTCACAATCATGGACACCCTCAAAGTTCAGCATAACAAGAGAGAAGCATGGTTAATTTCATGCCAGAAATCCATTGAAAGAAAAAGCCACCAGTCTATTTCATGAAAATTCATTTCCCTAATTCATAAATCTCTGGGTCTCTAAAAGGACATTGGCGTTAACAAAGTAGCTAAATTTATTCCAGTTACAAATAAAAAATTTTTTAAACTAATCACAGGTTAGATTAAAACTGAAGGGAAAACTGAAAAAATTTTGTTCCCAACTCACCTCTCTTAGGATAAGAATAAAGTCTAATGCACTAAGAACTCCAACAAACTGACCCTTGCAAGAATCCCAGAGAGGAGCCACTGGAATTCCCTGAAAGTAGCATAAATCAACAACAGTGAAATCTCAGCTAATAATCAGCGGGGTGAAGGGTAAAGCCTGGACAAATTGCACACACTTGTAACGTGTTAAAGATCTAAAAAAAAGTAAGTGATATATAACAAAGAAACTACGGAAGGAAGAATTATGTCAAATAAGATGCATAAAGCTAAAATGTAAAGGGGAGAGAGAAACCAGAGGAAGTAAGAGAAATAAAAAAGCACATGCAGTACAAGGTTATCTCCTTTCTGGGTGACAGACATATGTAAAACAGGGAACACTTGAAATGGGACCTTTATGTGGAGTGACTGTGCATATTTTTTCCTTTCTGCATGTTTTGAGTTTGTGAATGAGATTCACCTGTTCATGCAGAATATGGAATGCTTGCTTCACAGCTATATTAACATCCAAGGCTATAACCTGCAGCAATGGACACATTCAGATAGAACCAGCCTTAAGCTACCCCAAAGGTTACCTCATAAACAGCTTGGATAGAAAGGTGATGCATTCAAACCTTGCCTGACTCTGGAAGCAACTCATATGCAGTGTGTCTTGACAAGAAAGCAGATATACGATGACGAGAGACCTCTAAATCAGCATCTGATATTGTTGGAACTGGTTCCTACAAGTTACCCCCATAAATGAACATAAGTGCTTATCCATCTAAAACTCTCACAATAATTTTAGGTCTGATTCCTTCGTAAAAAGCAGGCACCTCAAGACTTGAAAAAGGTCTGCTAAAACAACTCAATAAAGGACAGATGTAAACACCGAAAAAGGTAAGAAGCATACCGAACGAATAAAAACGTCATCAACGTCCATGTTGGATCTACCAGGAGTCTCAGGACTAGACGTTGGAGGAACCATATCTGGTTCCCTAGCTATAAAGACGGTGTTTACTACACCATAATTACCATTTACAAAGGGCTGGTGCTCATCATGCCGCCATTCTCCATCAACATAAAACTTAAACTGCCATTATAAAGAAATCAAACCTAAAGATCAGTGTTAGAGTTACAAAAAAACGTGCATGCCAGAGTTAGGAATACAATGCATCCACATGATACCACATATGGATGAGCAATGATATGAGCAGCTTTCCTTCATGTATTCTCTACTCTTGGGTTTATAACACAACATGCTTCAAAAGAGAAAAACAATTACAAAAGGGTTATATTTGTATGATAACAACATTTCAACAGACATTATAAAGCAGCACATGAGCTATTGAAGCTACAACTTAATGAGCTTACTTTACCGTTACCAGCATAATCTCTAGGATGTAGGATTTATTAACTCAAGTAGGATCTTATCAACAGAACATAAAGGTACTTAGCATTTACCTCCAATGGATTATCAGTGCCATTTCCACAATTACTCAATTGGAAAGGAAAATTAAAAATTTAGTCCCATGTGCTCTTTAGAGGATACAGTTAAATATGTTCCTTAAACAGGTCCAATTCTTCTATACACAAAAGGCTGGACCTATACCTTCCATATTTCTTGCACTTCGGTTATTACTTATTAGCTAGTTGGCATGCAAATAAAATAATAACCTATTTGTTCACTATCCCTTCCCCTCCTTCAAAGATATATGTCCTTTCAAGTATTCATTCTTAACAGATTGTAAGGCATCAGATATAACAGTATCAGAATTGATCATGAATTTTACCTGCAAATCTACACAACTATTTAGCAAAACAAAGAGCACTATCACATTCTCAATAAGAATTCAGTTCCAAATATGGCTTTTTCAATCTGAACTACAGATAATGATCATAAAAAAAAACTGATTAACCTGATGATATCCAGGGCTCAAGCTACAAATAACTTGAAATACAGTGGGGCAACCCTCCATTGGAGACATAGGTATATGTTCTGACCATCTGTGTACAAAATGACACAATCAATTGCCGTGTCCAACCTAAATTAGTGAAACCCTTAAAATATAAATCTAACAAATAAGAATAGGAAGTGATAGAAAAACCGAAATTTTGATCTTTTCCAGTCTCTCACCTAGTAAAGGAGCCACTGAGAAACACTCTCCTTCCCCCATAAGGCCATACAAAGCGCATTGGAATCAAAAGTGGCCCTGAAACTCCACTATTTTCTTGGCCAGTTTCTGGACCAGAAGCAAACATCTCCTCCACAATTTAAACAAACACCAAATTATCAATCCACCAAAACTCAAAGTCAACAAATTTCCCACTTGATTTTTTCTCTTTTCTTCACCAAGAAAGCACTAAAATTTAAGCAAAGTACTTGTTAAAGTTCACCCAAACTGATCAAGATTGATAACTTAATGTCACAAAAATTTGGATTTTCTTCAATAGGGATCCTCTACAGCAAAGAGCAGAGGACCCCTTAATGGTTATACATTAAAGCCACCAAATCAAAATCATATCCACAAAAGATCACTTTTTCTAATTATTACATAAAAAACCCAAACCCTAAAATCTCCAAATGAGAAACCCTCTAAAATCCAACACAAGCTTCAATAATCCTCTACATGCGGCACCCACAAAACCCAATCAAAACCTCCAGAAATGAACAAATTCAACCCCAAAAGTCAACAAATCAAATGGCTACCAACAAACCCCCAAAATCCCACCAACAAAATAAACCAACCAACCACAAAAAACCCAGAATTCGAGCTCTGATCTGAGCTTCAAAGCAAGAATTTTAACACTGAATCGAAACCAAAACCCTGAAAATGAAACTTTGAGGAAGGTAAAAAAGAGTGGGTTTTTGGGTTGGGTAATTTTGGAAAGAGGAAAATTTGAAGAGTTTCAAAAGGATGAGCTTGAAAGAGGGGAAAAAAAACCCTAACGTTGATAGAGAAAGATTAGAGAGAAGTTGGCATTGGGTTGGATCTTCAAGAGATTTTGTGGCCTCTCAGTGAAGAATCTGACGATGAATAAAGCAAAAGAAGGAAGAAAAAAAATAAAGGAACAATTTAAAAATATATTTACATTTATATTTATATATAAATAAATAAGTTAAGAAGAAGGAGAAGAAAATGAGAACAATAATAGTAATTACAATTATTTTTATAATTGCAGTGAAAAAAAAAACTTTATGATGGTGAAATTTTTAGACTTATGGGAAGCTTTAGGCATAGAAACCTCTATTACTATTTATTTATTTTATTTCATTATTAATGTATTCAATTATGTAAACTTTTATTATTTAAATGATTAAAACTTTCTCTAACACTAGGTTCCATAGTATTACCTACTATTTAACATTATTTTATTCAATAAATAATAAAAACTATTTTAAGTTTTATGTTTCAAAAATTATTTTTATACCAAGAAAATATTAATATATTATTCATTAGAGTGTAAGGTAGAGAAAAGAAAATTACTTTTAATTTGTGTTCATTTTTATTAAATGTCAGTGGGTGATATTCGTCAATTTTGACGTATTTGAATCTGAACTTGAATTCGAATCCAAATTTAATTACTCATATTTTATCCAAATTCGATTAAAACCAAATCTCGTATCTGAACCGGATTACTAATACTTACAAAAAAATTAGAAATCACTTCAAATAAATAATAAACTTTAAATTATTTTTACATATTTATTAATAAAAATTAGATTAATAGGTAAATTAAAATTAATTCATTAAAAAATTAAAGTTTAAATCATGCTTTGAATAATTAATGAATTCCTGTAGGTATGACACAAATTATAACTAATTTATAAACAAAAGAATAGTATATAAAACTCAATTTTAATATTAAAATTATTATTTATAATAGTGTATAGATAGTAAGTAGTCTATAATTACCATCCACAATTGTAATGAGTAATAATTTTATTGTTCAAACCCTACTTGAATCTAATTATAAGATATTTTAATTTTACTTAATTGGAATGAGTAATGCAAGGTAATAGAAAGTATCCATTAAATTTCCTATTCATTAATAGGTAGAATGACATTATTAAAGATGTATTAAATGATAACAGATTAAATTTATTTGTATTTTAATTATTGACTTTAACATTTATTTTAAAACAAATTAATCACAATCAAGTTGAGTTTAATTAAGTTTTGAAGGAGTACCAAAAATTTGACCTAAGAAAAGTACCAAAAATAAAAATTATTTAGTTGTAGTTGATAAAAAATCATTTGTTGATTTAATGATCAGGTCATTTAAATTAATAATAAATTTAATGCATAAAATTCAATGTACAAAACAGGAAACATATATTTATTTAAAGAATTTTTATTTTAGGAAAAAATTAGTTAGTTACTTTAATAATTTGTTTAATGTGAATACATTTCATTATATAAATAACCAACAAAATTTTTATGTCTCTAATTTGCTAATTTTTAATTTGTTAAAACGAATAAATATTTAACTAGTTGGAAGTTTTCCATGTAAATAAATTTTTAAAATTAAGGTGGAAACGATTGGTGCTCCGAAGCGGTATGGTGAGGTATGTGCTTGTGATTGGATTGGACGGTGATGATGTGATTTTCAGGTGAGAAAAGTGGGTCCCATGAGATCAATGGGCAATGATAGGTGGGGCCATTGCTGACCGTGATTCCCGGGCAGCTCCTCCACCATGGGAAGAGAGAGAGAGACAAAGAGATGCTTTGGTTATTGGAGGCTAATTCATCATAAAATTCCGTACGCAAAAAAGCTTTTCTTTTCTTCTTTCTTAATCATAATTTTTTCCTTGTGGGTTTTTTTTTTATTAAAATGGATATATTTTTATTAATTTAATATTTTCCTTCATAAGGAAAAAAATGAAAGGAGGAAAGAACTAAAAAAAAATTAAACTAACAAAATCGATACTATTTTCATGTTAAATTAATCACACTAATGAAAATTGAGATAATTTTTACTTTCGACTATACATATTCTTAATTTTTTTTATCAAATGAATAAATATGTCAATATTTTTAATTTTTACTAATGATTAAACATAGTCCATGGATTTAGAGTTTAAATAAAATATTTATATTCGAAGTTCAACCGATCTTATGTAAAAAATAAATAAAATAAAAAAAGATTAATAAAATGTGTACTTGCAATTACTCACATTTTAAATGTCTTTGATGGTGTTTCGAGACGATTAAATTGAGTTATTTAAATATCTTAGGATAATATTCTCTCTTACTTATATTTTTAGATATTTTATTTTAAAATTTATAAAAATAAAAAACTATTTATGACTGAGTTGGCCTTCCTCCCTTTTCTTTTTCCATAGAGTGCTAAGCAATTTGGTCGGGTGGTTAGTGGGCAAAGAAGAAACTGAGATTATGATCTCAAATACTAAGATTCCTTTGTACCCATCAAACTCTGAGATGCTTTTTTTCCAACTTATGTCATTCCCATAATCATAAGTGAAACCAATTAAATCAAATTAAAATAATTTAATTTTTCACAATAATAAATTCAAGTTTTAATTTAACGTATATGTAACGAAACAATTAATGAAGTGTAATCATTGTTAGTATATAAAACCTCTATAATTACAATCAATTTATTGAAGTGCTGCTAAAAAGTAAAAAAGAGTTGACTAAAATGATTTATATTGAAAAAATTGTAATTAAAATTAGTCAAATTTGTTGTGAGAAGATGCAGCTTGCAAACTTTTTACAATTTGTAAAAAAGATCATGATGAAGCTAGCCAGTAAGATGGACTAAGAACACAAGTCAATGACATTCATCATTGAAGAAGGTGATCAGAGAATCATATAGCATTTTATACTTCAATAGGGGAAGAAGGGGGTGTAATTTTTCTTCTGATACTGCAATTTTCTAGTTGATCTAGAAATTAAACTCTTTTGTGTATATATCTAGATATATAATTGTATGTTTCTGTTTATGAATTTATTTATTTTTTGATACATTGAGAATTTAAGAGTGTTAGGGGGAGACTCTGAACTCTTTCAGGTTAACAACGGTTAAATTAAGTATGGGTTATTTCTATTGTCTTTATTGGATTAAGACATTTCTTCTTCCCTGTGGACTAAGGCTGAATTTAGATTATAAATCAAGAGGCCTGGTAAGATCAGTTCCAGCAGCAATGGCCATGGCAATTAAGATCCTCATTTGCCTATTTCTATCACCAACAGGGCTAGCAGGATTGGGTGGGGTGTTAAAGATAGCGGTGCAACCAGCTTGTGCTCTAGGTGCAGGCCTCATGGACAGTAACATGCTATCATAATCTTTCAGAAAGAAAACCGCTGCAGCTTCCTGGAAACCACCCATTACCAGGCGGTAAGCGTCTTCGCAGGTTGTGAGAGCCTCCTTCTCTGCTGGATCGGTCGCCTTCTTGAGGAGTAGAGCGATGAAACTGTGGGTGTCGGTCGCATGGCTGACGGCTTGCTCGATGGTTATTAGGGTCAGAGCTGCCATATCTGCACGACGACCTTTCAGGTTTTGGTTGAAAGTGTTGTCGCAGAATGCATATTCCTCCATTTGTCGACAGATATGGTCTATCAGGTTTTGAGTTGCTTCGTCAGTCCAGGCAGGGTTGATGAAGAGGGTGGTGGCTAGCAAAGCAAGAACCAAATGGTAGTATTGGGGAGAAGCCATGTTGGGGGCGGTGAAGCCTGCAAAGAAGGCTGCAAAGAGCCAAAGAGGATTTGTACATAGCTAGTTCACTTGGAGAAGAGACAAGGAAATCAAAAATATATATGGAAAGTTATAAATTTATAATACAAGGTGGATACTTCTTTCTATAAAATGCATGTATATTTGGTCTAAATATTAACGTAGAATTTTAAGAAAAAAATACAACTTGGTATGAAATGTAATGGAGAATCTGTAAAAAATCGAACATATATCACTACAATCTTACATAGAATTCTCGAAAAATAATTTTTGATAAAAAAAATTGTTTAGGGCATTTACATTCCCCATGGGAGCAACCTACTCACTTTCTTAGAGCAATTAGACCTTACAAGGTGATATATATATATATAGTCAAATGAGGCTAGGCTAATAAGGTGATGGGAAAGACTGATCAATTCGTGTGAGTTCTTTGCCAACTTCGATCATTGTTGGCCTCCTTTCTTCATCCAAAGAGATGCATCTAAGGAGAAGTTCTGGGAAATCCTGCAGCTGCTCCTGATCAATTACTTCATTTCTTATTCTACCATTTTCGACACAATGGCATTGATCAGCATCCGATTTATTATGCACCAATAGATAGCAAGCTGCGTCCCATCCACTTAAAAGCTCAATTAGAAGCATTCCAAACTGATGCACATCTGCCTTCTCTGTTAAAAAACTTGTAGCCCAATTTTCAGGTGGAGTCAACCACTCTGTTCTCCTTATAACATCCCCTTCTAGGTGTGATCGCCCTTCAGGAATAGATATACACAGTCGAAAGTCAATGAGTTTGGGAACATTGTTCTGATCCAGTATGATGTTTGAGGACTTAATATCTCGATGGATAACTGGTCTAGAAAATGCAGTGTGAAGATATGCAATTACATTCACTAAACCTATTGCAGTTTTCAACCTGGATTTCCACTGCAGTAGTTGTATATCAGTAACAGAGATACATGTGGAGAGCATATTAGTGTCAGCAAATTCATACACTATAGTTGGCACTTCAGTCTCCAAGCAGCATCCTATAACCTTTAAAACATTCTTGTGAACACTCATCTGTGATCCAATGGCAATATCTTTGATTGCAAAATCAACCCATGGCTCGTAATACTTCTTAACAAAAATTGAACGGTCCTTTAGAGAGCCTTTGTACAATTGATAACCACCAACCTTCCACAAAAATCTGGCTTGTATCATAGTTGTTAGTTGCTCTCAGAAGCTCTTTTGCTGAAAAATGACGGATGGGATTGGACCTGCCATTAGAGAAGGCAATAAGCTTCTCCAATAAAGCCCCTCCATTTTTTGTGAAAAAGGTCTGTTTATCTTCATGTCTCTTCACTTTGAGACATGCAAACATCTTGCCTAAGAGTGGAACTTTATATTAATTATAAAAATAAGATAGTAAAGAAGCATGGACAATATCATGTAAAGGTAAAAGAAATTAAAATAAAAATGATGAAATCAACAGATTACAGTGGAAATAAATATTTTCTTTCAATCTGTAGTATTCTATACAAGACTTGTCCAAGCCAACACTAGAATTAGATCAACTTAAATATAGAAACAGAGGACTTCTCCTTTGGGGGGGAAAAACCAGTCTTAAATTGGATTGAGTTAATCTGCAGAAATACTAAAAATGACTATGGGGCCTGAAAGGGTACCTGTAAATGTTCAACTCAAGTGAAAATACAGCTGTTGGAACCAAGGATGCAGAAAGGGAGTCTAGTGATAGCAGAAGAAATTGGAGAAAGGAAAGTTGCAGGCTGCAGCAGATATAGATACAAGTCATACCAGGCATCAATAAGGTTCCTCCATATATGAGAAGAAGTGCAAAGCTTTTGATTGAAATGGTCAAAGTCATACATGAAAAGCTTCCATGAAGAGGCAGCTTTGTTCTGACTTCTCTCTTCAGTCCTTACTTAACTCTTCTATTCTAGATTTAACAATTGAATGACGCTAATTGATTTGGAGCTTTGATTTTAAATTTAATTTATTATAGTAAGCAATCAGAGTTTATTATGTCTATGCCTTCAACTCCAACAGGCTAAACAATTATAATAAGTCTTCTAGAAAATTCTACAACAATGAAAGAAAATTAAAATATATATAATACGATATTGATATAGAATTTTAAGAAAATACAATTCGTCCCAACATTATGTTTTTTTCAACTATTTATCTTACTTGTTGCAATAATAATTTATTAAGCATATTTGATACAAATTCCTCTCAGAAGCAAATTTGATAACAATAAATTGTTTAGGACATTCATTACTGGCCAATCAAATAAATACAAAGAGTAAAATACATTTGAAGTCCTTAGAGTCTAGGAAGCCATGCACACAATTACAACTACAGCTTACAAGATTTTCTCAGCCACTGAGAAATAGTATAGACAAATGGGGCTAGGCTAACAAGGTGATGGAAACGACTGATATATTCGCCTGAGTTGTTTGCCAACCTGGATCATTGTTGGCCTCTTTTCTTCATCATAAGAGACACATCTATGGATAAGTGTTGTTAAATCTAGCAACTGCTCCTGATCAATTCCTTCATTTTTTATTCTACTATCGACACTATTGCACAGAGATCCCTTGTATTGCTGGTTTTATATGCCTGATATACGAAAGCTAGCTTCTGTTCAATTAAAAGCTCAATTAGAAGCGTACAGAACTGATAAACATCAGTTTTCTGTGTTAAATAAGTTGGAAACACATATTCAGGTGCATTATACCATATTGTCCCCTTAGAATCATCCCCTACATGTGACTGCCCTTCAGGGATAGATAGACATATTCCAAAGTCATAGAGCTTGGGAACATTGTTCTGATCCAATATGATATTTGAGCAATCAATTTCTCGATGGATAACTGGTCTAGAAAATGCATTGTGGAGATACGCAACTGCATTTGCTATACCTATTGCAATTTTCAACCTGCATTTCCAGGATAGTGGCTGAACATCAGTAGCAGAGATACATGGGGAGAGGATTTCTGTGCCAGCAAATTCATATACTATAGATGGTATTTTGGTCTCCAGGCCTAAAACCTTTAAAACATTCTTGTGAACACTCATTTGTGATCCAATGGCAATATCTTTGAATTCCAAATCAAACCGTGGATCGTCGCCATAGCATTACATCTTCACAAAAATTGGACAGTCCTTTAGAGAACCTTTGTACAATGTATAACGACTTTTACGCACAAAACTCTGTTGTGCTTCACAGTTGTTTGTTGCTATCGGAAGCTCTTTTGCAGAGAAATGACAGATAGGATTGGATCTACCATTACAGAAGGCAATAATCTCCTCTAATAAAGCCCCTCCGTTTTTTGTGAAAAGTGTCTGATTATGTTCATGTCTCTTCTCTTTCAAACATGCTAACATTTTGCCTAAGAGTGAAACTATATATTACTTATACAAACAGGATAATAAAGAAGCATGACAATACTATATGAAGGTAGAAGAAATTGAAAGAAAAATGATGAAATCAATAGGAATCAAGCTCATAATCAAAAGGTAATAGAGCAGTGATGAGGTAGTAGTAAGGACCCTGAATATGTAGTTGGAAGCAAGGGAGTTTGAAACATTTACCCATAAAAATAAAAACAAAAATAAGAAAGCTAACCTGGATTTGCTTGAGTTGGTTTTTATTTTTATAATTATTATGTTTGTTGGATATAATTTGTTTGAGTAAAAATTTGCTTATAATTCATTATTCCTTGCAAGATTGTCAAAGCTTCAAGTAAGGTTCTTGATAAGGAAAAAGCCCTATTTATATTTTTGACCCTTTTTTAATAATCTAAAGTTAGAGTCATATATACAGAATAACATAAAAAGAAAAAGATTTATTGAACTGATAAAGGTGAAATAACGTGCTGAAATACTAAAAAAGACTATGGGGCATGAAAGGGTACCTGTAAATGTTCAACTTAAGTGAAAACACAGCTGTTGGAACCAAGGATGCAGAAAGAATTGGAGAAAGGAAAGTTGCAGGCTGCAACAGATGTAGATACAAGTCATACCAGGCATCAGTAAGATTCCTCCATGTATAAGAAGAAGTGCAAATCTGTGATTGAAATGGTCAAAGTCATGCTCGGAAAACTTCCATTGAAAAAATAAGAGGCACCTTCGTTCTGACTTCTGACTTGTCTCTTCAATCATTGCTTAATTCTTTGACTCAAGATTTAAAAATTGAATGACGCTGATCGATTTGGAGCTTTAATTTTAACTTTACTTTATGATAGGAAGCAATAAGATTTTATTATGTCTATATGCCTTCAACTCCTAACAAGCTAAACAACTAAACTAAGCCTTTGATAGAGCCTGGAAGATTTCCAATTAGTGCATAAACCAATCTCCAATTCAAGGCAAGTCTATAATCTTTTGTTGAGAACTTGAAAAACTCTGCATTTGCTTTAAATGAAGCCTGCTGCCTCAACATATGGGGAAGGGATATTCAAGTGTACAAGTTATCCTGCCATGAATAATAGGATAGCAGAAGTAATTGCCTAGGCATTGCAAGGAGTCGATATTCAGCAGAAGAACCAATCTAAAACGAATAGATTTATATATCTGCCTTAGTTGGTCTATCCTCTTCTAGTTTTGAGGTGCATTAAGGCAACAGTTGTAAAAAACAGAATTTGCTGCTCTTTTCCATGCCATAATCCCTGTTCCAAAAGTATGGGATCTACAATGTGATTTAAAATACCCTTTTTCAGCATATTTTTTTCCACATAAACTACTAAATGCTCTTCATCTCCTACATATCTGGCCCTTTTGTTTGCCATTTGGAACAAGATCCAAGAGCTCAGAGAAATAATCTTGCAAATTTGGAGCAATGAAAACCTGCAGCTGTTTTTGTTGCTTGCGCATTGGAAGTCTCACAGGTCAACAGGCAAATATCCAAGAAATGCAGAGTCATGACAGAAAGTTGGGACACAGGAAATTTCCTTCAACAAAGGCAAGGCAGCTTCCTTGAACTTGTCTTCGGCAATTGCATGAGTTTTAGTCTTACAACAGATTGAAAACAAGGAAATGAAAACTGGATTAATTCTGTTTGAATGTAAGGTCTTCTTGGCTGTAGTAGATGAAGCAAATTGATTCAATGGAAATTCCACTTTTCTCTTTTACTCCAATTATAGATTCAATAACTGATGCAGTATCATCTCTTTCCCAAAGTTGCCTCGTTCATCCAGAGTTAATTTTCATTCTTGAGTTTCCTTGTCCCAAAGAAATAAGGAGCTGCTTGCTGCAAGCTTAAAGCAAATGTGCAATAACAAAATGTTCAGTTTTATTCTTCTTTAATATTGGATTAAAAACTGTTTAATACTTCTTGAAAAACTTCATTTTTCAACGAACAAATGCAGAAAACTCTAACAATTAATCAAATCAACAGAAGAATACACATTTGCAGGGGACAACTTCTGCTAAATTGTGTTCACAGTGCAGCTATTATTAGTGGCCAATCAAATCAATATAAAGGTACTTAATTGTAGGGTGCAATATAAATGGTCTTATGCTGTAATCTGAATTTTTTCTCATATGATTAGTAAGAATTGCACAAGGTGGGTTCCTTTTCATAAATGATAGCATATGGATGATTTTGTACAGGGTGGGAGGATACAGGACAAACTTTTGGGTACCTATGGAGAGTAATGAGCTTCAAGTAACCCTGTTTATCAATGAATTAATTCATGGCTTATCAGAAAAGCTAGTAAACTAATGAAATTTGATAATAAAATGCTAAAATCACAACCATACATACATTTGTTGGACTTAATTTACATTTTCCCAGAAGAGAAACCCCCTGACTTTCTTACAACAGCAGAATCTTACTGTCAAGCCAATTTTCATATATGGATGAGCTTAGAGTTTAGAGAGCCATGCATACAAATACAACTACAGCTTACAAGATTTTTTGCAGCTGTTGAGAAATGAAATAGCCAACTGGGGCTAGGCTATGAAGGTGACGTAAAAGACTGATCAATTAGCCTGAGTTCTTTGACAACCTCAATCATTGTTGGCCTCTCTTCTTCTTCAAAAGAGGTGCATTTAAGGATAAGTGTTTTGAAATCCTGGAACTGATCAATTCCTTCATTTCTTATTCTATCACGGACAGCATTAATGTACATTTCAATACGTAGACGTATATTATGTTCCCTCCAAAAGGGCACAAAATCCTGTCCCCTTGAAAGCTCAATAAGAAGCAATCCAAACTGATAAACATCAACCTTCTCTGTTAAATAACCTCTATTCCTATATTCAGGTGTGAGATTGACTGTTCTCCATGCTGCGAGATCAGCAATTACATGACTTTCTCCTTCAGGAATAGATATACATAGCCAAAAGTCAATAAGTTTGGGAACATTGTTTTGATCCAATAGGATATTTGAGCATTTAATATCTCGATGGATAACTGGTCTAGAAAATGCAGTGTGGAGATATGCAACTGCACTTGCTATACCTATTGCTATTTTCAACCTGCATTTCCATGGTAATGGCTCATCATTAGTAGCAGAGATACATGCGGAGAGGATTTTTGTGCCAGCAAATTCATATACTGTAATTGGTAATTCAGTCTCCAAGCAGCATCCTATAACCTTTAAAACATTCTTGTGAACACTCATTTGTGATCCGAAGGCAATATCTTTGTAAGGGGCTGTCTCAAGAAATCTCCATCTAGAGTCATACTTCTTCACTAAAATTGGACGATCCCTTAGAGAGCCTTTGTACAATGTATAACCAAGATCTTGCACAAAAATCTGGCGTGCATCATAGTTGTTTGTTGCTCTCATAAGCTCTTTTGCAGAGAAATGACAGATAGGATTAGATCTGCCATTACGTAAGGCAATGACCTCCTCTAATAGAACCCCTCCATTTTTTATAAAACATTTCTGATCTCCTTCATCTTCATGTCTCTTCACTTTCAAACATGTAAACATCTTGCCTAAGAGTGGAACTTTACATTAATTATACAAACATGATAGTAAATAAGTATGTGCAATATCATGTAAAGATAAAATAAAATTAATTGAAAAAAATAAAATCAACTGATTGCAATGTAAATAAATATTTCTTTTCCAACTGAGAGAGCCTATTATTTCAATTTTATTTCTTTAACTGCTTTCTAAGGAAAAAAAACTATGTTTCAATCTGCTGCATAGCAGTTAAACTAATCATAAGCTAACAGATAGTTGATACTGTAACAGTAAGGATTCTGGATCCAGAATATCTAGTTGGAAGCCAGAGAGTTTGAAACATACATCCATATAAAAAAAGAAACAAAAATGACATATGAACATGAGTGTTAAATTGGATTGAGTATATCAAGGTTATTAGTTAATACTAAGAATGAAAACAGGACGGGAAGAAGAGAAATGCACCTGGGAAGTTTGAATAATAAATCAAGATAAAAGGAAGCACAAGATCCAATAACTCAGAGAAATAATCTTTCAAATTGAACCAAATTTGATGCCATAAAAACCTGTAGCAGTTTTCTTTGCCTGCACAGATACAAGTCTTCCAGGTCAACAGACAAATATCCCACTAGTAATTTTATAGTTGAGATAAAATGCAAAGTCACAGGAAGTTTCCATCACAAAGGCTTGGCACCTTCCTCGAGCTTTCTAATTGCATGATTTTTTAGTCTTTCAACATATTGGAAAACAATAAAAGAATATAAACTTTTTTTAAAAAAAAATCAAAGAATAAATTTAGTAGCATAAATTGATATATTTCAAGATTTTTTTAAAATTTTTTTTGAACCTATAATAAATCATGTACCATTGTTTTGAACCATCCATGAAAGCTAGCTAGAGTGGGCTTGGCCTCTCATGCTTTCTGTTTTCGTTTTATATAAGCCATAGAGGCTTTGGGCTTTCAGCCAATCTGAAGAAAGCTCATGGACCTCCCATGTTCTAGTTAAGCAACCTCCCAAGGGTCAATGATGGACAAGCTCACATATTAACAGGGTTGCCACTTGGAAACAAGAAATAGAAAACAAAATCCATAATTCTTATAAACTAAAAGAAACTTGAATTTATAGAGATTGAATGCCGATGACTTCTTGAAAATTCTTATCAGTGCTTTGATATTCCAATAGCAGAAAATAGAAACAGGGTTAATGTTACTTTTTGAGTCATCATGAATGCCGGTGAGAAATGAAATGGAAAGGTCTGGTCTTGTAGAACAATTTTAAGCGAAGAGAATCAGCAAACTGTGCTTAAATTGATCAAATGTAGAGCAATCTGAATGATTTATGTTTAACTCAAAATTTCACAATCAGTCAATTACACAGCAAATTATAAAAAAAGGGTCCTCAAAGACTTGAATTCAACTCTGAGCTTTCTGCTGTTTCCAAGCTGGTGCAAGAAGGTAAGCTGCTAGTGATTAGCCGTTGGAATTTTCCATTTTGAATCTCTTCAGTAGATGTTTCCGAAATGTCTCATCAACCCAATGTGCAATTTGTGCCACAATCAGTCGAGAGCCATGTCGAATGAAAGTTTTTTGAAGGGCAGTGAAAAGAAAGTAAGTGGCGTATCAAAGGCCTGTTTGCATGAAGACAAGTCAAGAATAGTCAATTGAAAAGAAAAGGCCCAAAAAAAGTCTGATGAACAAGATAATGACTAGAGAGTAATGTATAAACTGAAAATTTAACTCATCAAACCTGCCAAAATAATTTGTTGTGCAAAGAACTACAGAACTGTCAATGAGACTGCAGCAGAGCGCAGCTTCACTCCATCGTCATCCCACTTGGACTGTGGCGCAGTTGCTCCAGCAATAATAGCCTGCATCCAAAGCTAGTTGATTAGATATACATCATGAGAATTATAAATATATAAGATTTGGTGCATTAAAATCTCTAGTAAAGATTGTGATCCTGAAAATTAAGTTGACAGGTCTGATGTCCTTAGGAGACATCCTGATGCTAGGCCAAAAGCATTCAGCCTTAAGCTTTACCCTTCATGCATCATCTGGAGGCAAAAGTACCATGCTATATTTTGGCTTATCTCTTGACAAGAAAAGAAGAATTTTAGCTTAATTATGGAAATATATAACACTCATATTAACAATCAACAGTATTCATTAACAAACCTTTCCAACGTTGACAGTGGCCACCAGTGCAATGTGCAGCTCATCTCTTCCAAATTCATAGAAATAGTAAGTCCTGTGATCAATTGAGCATTTTGAGAGCATACATCAGAAGCAGAGACAAAGATAGTACATTTGACACTAAATAAACATGCTTTCAGTAACTTTTCTTCCCCATTATATTCATTATCCTTTGAAACTTTTTAGTGCAATATGCAGAATCTCATCTGTCATGTAAGGTGCATACTTCCAAACGGCAGATCTGCATTCCTTTCCATTTCCATTAGTTTAAATTCTGAGAAACACTACCTTATAACAGTAGTGGGGACTTGGTTGTGTTTATGCATAATCTACAGTCTGTTATTCCCTTTGATTGCTTTTACTTACTGAAAAGCGTAACTGTTTAAGTAGTATCCTTTTAACAAATTGAATTAGTCATTAATAGTTTATGGTAGTACTGGGATGCTTAAAACTATAACTTACTTGAAACCTTCATCTTCCTTTATCTTTATGGTTCGGGCATTATAAAGAGTTGCGCCACCTGCCATTGCACCATTGCTCGAATTGAAGACCAATAGTAAAGATGACAGAAGTC